CTTAATTGGGGTTGTAAGTAAATATAGGTACAGTTACCTTAGTTATAACCCTACTTACTAAGTCCTATGATCTTTTAAGTAGACGTCTGATATGAGGGCCTCAACACTTACAATAGGGCTTGGGTATCATATAGTATACATATATAGAGACTATCAGGTAGTATCACTCAGTATTTGGGCCACCAGGCGCACGGCCTGAACTTCAATGAAACTTCAGCAGCCAGCAAGTTCTTGCACCATACATGGCCACTATAGTACTCACAATAACAAGGATGAAATACAAGCAATGATCATACCGGTGCTGCAGTACGAATGAAAAGCAATGGTGATCCGAAGAAGAAATACACAAATTACACCTATGATGCTGTGGTCTTTACAGCTTGGGGCTTAGGGGGCGGAGGCACCCGCAAGACCCGAACCCTGAATTAGGTGTGCTTGGGTCCTGCCAGACTCCGGTGCAACCCTAGTAGCATGTTAATCCTTCTTTCCCCAAACCCTGCTGACAAGTACTACGGGGCCTTAGTAATTTGAATAGGGCTTTGGGAAGACCGCTGTCTGTATTACACAAGGTACCTGTACATGTTCCATGGAAGACTGAATACGCACGCGCATAATACGACATTGCATGTGCATACTTGTATATATGTATGTGCATAGAAAGACAGAAAGACAGATAAATAGATAGATAGATAGATAGATAGATAGACAGACAGACAGATAGATATATAGATAGATAGATAGATAGATAAAAAGATAGATAGATGGATAGAGTGATGCACACACATATATATATATATATGTGTTTATAAATATATATATATATATATACATATGTCTATATATATCTATACATATACACATATGTATAATGCATCTGTTTACATATGTATATATATATATATACATACATACACACACAAACACACACGCATACATGCACATGCGTGTGTGGGTGTGTACACATCTGTGTGCGTGTGAGGAGGATGGATGTGTCGTGTAATTGTTTTATGGCCAGAGGCCACGGCAGCCCGCGTCCGGAAACTGCCTCGTGGGTGTAGCCCACAAGGTCCAGAGTCAGGGCATCGATGCGCTCCTCCGGCGCCGTTTAGGGTTGAGGGTTTAGGAAGTTTCGGGTTTAGGGTTTATGGTGAGGGGTCTGAGTCTGAGCTGTTGGACCCCAAACACTCTGGCCGCCTAGCTGAAGGATCCAAAATATGAACTCCTGCAAGATGCCTTGTCTTCACCCATGTAATGGCAGGATACCTTCGTGAGCTCTATTCGAAAAGTGTGTGACACAAGTTTGTTAAACGACAACCCAGACTGTGCGGCACTGCCGGTCGCCCTACTCTGTGGGCTCGGGCCCAAGCGTCGTGGCTCCTGGCGAACGGGTCCCGTCCAGCGGGGTGGCATGAAAAGGCGATCGAACCTGGTGGGCCCATAGTCCCCAAGCTAGGCTAAACTCTGCCGGCAACGGCATCTCCATGCTGAGGTTCCCAAAACCTTTATAGGGATGGTCTTTTGGGACCTAATTCCATATTGGTAGTGAAGTCCCCTGATTGGGTTTATAAGTATAGTTCTCCCAATTATAACCTTACTTACTAAGTCCCATGATCCTAAACCCTAAACCCTAAACCCTAAAACCCTAAACCCTAAACCCTAAAACCCTAAACCCCCTTCCCTAAACCCTTTAAGTGGCCGTCTCACTGACGAGACGCGCTCAAACTCCTCTTGAGTCGGGTCAGCTTGGAGCTGCAAGTTGGCCTTCTTCTGAGTAGGGTTTAGGGTTTAGGGTTTAGGGTTTAGGGTTCTGCATCAGCTTCTGTAGGGTCGAGGATCAGTAAGTACTGTAGGGGCCTTTATAGGTAGACTAGGCTTTCGGGGTATATTCTACTATAGATACAGTAAGGAACACCCAAGATAGTACAGGTAATTATTGAGGCCCCTATATTCAGGTGAAGAATACGTTGCTTGGGGTCAGAATTAGAATTAGCCCGGTTTGTAACTCTAGCTACTAATTCCCATGCTTAAGTAGACGATTTCAGGGACCCACATCTCCAGGCCAGTGCTGAGTATGGGGCCTCCAAGAACACTTTTCTAACCCTAAAACCTAAACCCTAAACCCTAAACTCTGAACCCTGAACCCTAAACCAAGAACCCTAAACCCTAAACCCTGAACCCTAAACCCTAAACCAAGAACCCTAAACCCTAAACCCTGAACCCTTTGGGTTAAGGGTTTAAGGCCTTTAGGAGTGGTTGCGGGTCTCTGTGTCTGGGGTCGTGTGGTGCCTCTGGCGGGCCGAGTTAACGCAAGCTCGGAAGACGGCCGTTTAGGGTTTAGGGTTTAGGGTTTCGGGTCTCGTGTTTGGGTTTAAGTTAAGGAAGGTGGCTGATCTGATCGCTGTAATACGATGCACTCGATACGACCGGGTCATAACATACCTTGTGTACAGGCTGTTCCCCGTTTAAACCCCTAACAACCCTCACCTTCACCGGCCGCCGGACCCCTAAACGCTCAACCCTAAACCCTAAACCGCTAAGCCCGAAACCCTGTAAACCCTAAACCCTAAACCCCTAAACCCTAAACCCTATAAACCCTAAACCCTGACCCTTATTGGGTAGCCCCGACCTCGCAGGACCTCGAAACCCGACGTCCAAAACCGTGGAAA